CTCTCTTTTCTCTCTTTTCGTTTTCTTGTGGCCCCTTCGGTTCCGGATTGTTTTTCAAAGGCTCTTTTCCTTTTGGCATTGGCCTCTGGGGGTCGGGTGGGTGAGCTTCATGCTCTCCTCAGGCACAGAGGTTTCTGCTCTTTCGGTCGGGGTGATCGGTTTGTTCGTCTGCAGCCTTCTCCTTTTCTGGTGAAGAATGAGACTGCTGCGTTCCGGAGGGGTCCCTGGGTTGTTGATGCTGGGTTGATTCGACCGGGAGTGCATCATGTTTTGTGTCCGGTTGCGGCTCTCCGCCGTTATTTGCACACCACGGCTTTTGTGTCTGTGGATGCACTTTGGGTTGATCCAGTTTCCCTTCTTCCCTGTTCGAGGGTGCGGGTCTTCCAGGTCGTCTGCAGGGTTATTAAGGCTAGCCAGCCTGCGGTCTATCCCGGTGCAAATGACGTCTGCAAGTTTGAGGCTCTTACCGCCGTCTTAGGCAATATGTCCTGGGCTGATATTCGGGCGGTGGGATTTTGGCCGTCAAACAAGATCCTGGCTGTTCGTTACCTTGTAAATGTTCCTGGGCCCGGTCGGGCCTGTGTCGCTTTGGGTTGGCGGATGCAGCCAGTTGTCTCGACTTCGGGTTGAGGAGTGAGCAGCAACCGCCTCCCGGGTAAGTCTCTATTCTTTTCCTTGTGGGTAGTTAACTCTGGGGAGCCATAGGGGCTTCCCCCCAGAAAACTAGCGCTGAATGTAATGAAACGCCATTTTCTGGGTGAGTCCCGGAGGCTCCCTGGCATCCCTCCCTCCCTCCAGACGGCGTTTTTTTGTGTGTTTTGACATCCCGCCTCAGAACTGGGGTGTGGATCGCCAGCACGGTAGGTCTGGGCCTGCCCCTTCCCCCTCCCGAGGAGGGGGGCTGAGCAGACAATGGCACGATAATGGATGACGTCATACTAGTTTGTTTGTTTTTGTTTGGGGACTTCTATCCACTCGTTCAGCTTTTGGTTGCAAATTCACCAGAATAGGGGATTGTTTTGGGATGCCTACCTTTCTGGGTGCCTAACTCGGTCGATGGCAGACATAGAATGCTTCCAATTACATGGGGGTTTCTATAGGCCATTGCTCCTCTTGCCTCTCTAGAGAGGGCCACGTTCTGGCTTGTGGTCCCCGGTAGGCCCATAAGAACTCCATACACATGACTGATGCCAAAGTCTGACATTAGCATATCAGCCTAGTAAGCTTTGGGAAGCCTCCGGGACTCACCAAGGAAATGGTGTTTCATTACATTCAACGCTGGTTTTTGGGTTTCATGAGTTATCAAGGTGTTTTTCACAGTATTCTTGGGGCGTTCCCTGATTTTTCCTCGGGCGACCGTTGTGGGGGCGCAGAGTGTGGGTTGCACCAGTTGACATTCTGATCGTATTGTGACATGAGATTCGACCATATGTACATTACATATACACATACATATGCTTTATATGTGTACAGCGTGTATAGATGTTTGCTGGTTTATATAGCTTTCCGATCACCCACTCCTGCCCCTACAGTTTTTTTTCGTTGGGACAGGGGATGCTTGGCTTCTGGCCCTGGCTGGGGCTTTTCTTTGTATTTCTTTCCGGACAGTACGTTTTTGTTTTAGTGCAGTAGCATGCTTCGTTCTGCCCTGCTTGGGCTGGTGGTGCTGCTACTGTGGGTTATGGTGTCACTGTTTTCGCTTCACATCTCGGGTTTCGGCTCATGGTGCTCGGTTCCTTGTTGGCCTCCACCTGGGCCTTGGCTCTTAGGTTTTTCGCTACGCTTTCTGCCGTCTTTGGTGGCATGTCTTGGGCTGACATTCAGGCGCAGGGTTGGTTTTTGCAGTCGCGCTGGGTCTTGGCTGTGCGCTCCCTCGTATTTGTTCCTGGACCTAGTCAGGCCTATGTCACCTTGGGTCGGCTGTTGCAGACTGTTGTCTTAACTTCGTGTTGTGGTGTGAGCACCGACCGCCTCCCGGTTGCATCCCTCTGTTTTCATCTTTGGTGAAGTAGCTCCGGGGAGCCGTAGGGGCTCCCCCCAGGAAACCAGCGTTGAAGGTAATGAAACGCCATTTTCTGGGTTAGTCCCAGAGGCTCCCCGGCAACCCTCCATCCCTTCGGTCGGTGATTTTTCGTTTTTTTTTATATCCAGCCTCAGAACGGGTGAGGATCGCCAGCGTGAGGGTCTGGAGCTTCCCCTTCCTCAGGAGGGGAAAGTGGGGAGCTGCACAGACATGCGGCATGGCTCATGTGACGCCATGCTTGTTTGCTCATTTTTCTTTTGGGGAGTTCTGTCCACTCGTTGGACAATTTTCATTGTTAACCAGAATTGGGGTTTGTTTTGTGGAGCTTACCTTTCTGGGTGCCTGTCCCGGTCGATGGCAGATATAGAATGCTCCAAATCACATGTGCATTTCTATGGGCCATTGCTCCTCATACCTCTGTGAGGGGGCCAGGTTCTGGCTTATTGTTCCCGGTAGGCCTAGAACTCCACCCACATCGACTGATGCAAAATAGTTAGGGTATCCATATCAGTTATGGATGGCTCCGGGGAAGCCTCCGGAACTCACCCAGAAAATGGAGTTTCATTACATTCAACGCTGTTTTTTTTTATCTGTTCTCCTTGGTTTGTTGTGGCTCCTTCGGTCTAAGATTGTTTTCAAAAGACTTTGTTTTTGTTTGCTTTGGCCTCTGGGGTCGGGTCAGTGAGCTCCATGCACTCCTCCAATGCAAGGAGTTTCTGCTCTTTCAGTCCTGTTGGACGTTTTATTCATTTGCAGCCGTCTCCTTCTTTTCTGGCGAAGAGTGTGATGGTGGGCTTCCGGAGGGGTCTGTGGGTTATTGATGCTTGGTTGGTCAGGCTGGGCATACATCAAGTTTTTGGTCGAGTTGCGGCTTTACACCGTTACTTGCGTGCCTCGGGTTCTATGTCCAGGGATGGGCTTTGGGTTGATCTGATATCCCTCATTTCCTGTTCATGGCTCGGGTCTCACAGGTCGTCCGCAGGGTTTCAAGTCTAGCAGCCTGAGGTCTACACTCATGCCCATGATCGGACATTTGCAGTTCTTGTTGCTGTTTTTGGGAACATGTCTTGGGTTAACATTCGGGCACGGGGGTTTTGAAGGTCGAACAGGGTCCTGGCCGCCCGTTATCTCCTGAGTGTTCCGGTCCCTCAGCAGTCATCTGTGGCCTTGGGCCGCCAGTTGCGGCCAGTTTTCCCATCTTCATCATGAGGAATGCAGTGTTGCCGCCTCCCGGATAAGTCCCTCATTTACTATCTTTGGCTATCTATCTCCAGGGAACCAGAGGGGCCCCCCACAAAAAACCAGCATTGAATGTAATGAAACACCATTTTCTGGGTGAGCCCCGGAGGCTCCGTGGCACCCTCCCTCCCTCCGGTTGGTGGTCTTTTCTTCCATTTGCTTAGTGTCTGAACTGTTGAGCAGGCAGCTGTCTTGGGTGGGCGGGTCTTCCCCCTCTGGAGGGGGGGGTTCAGGAACAAGCGGCGTGTCGGTTTGATGACGATTATTAACTCTTGTTAACTTGTTTTTCTTGGGGAGTTCTTGGGCTCTGTTCAGTCTTGGGTTGCAATTTTCTACCTGTTGGGGTCTGTTTTGGGGTGCCTACATTTCTGGGTGCCTATCCCCGGTTGATGGCAGACATGAATATACTCTTAAAGAGTGGAGTTTCCGTAAGCCATTGCTCCCTTCACTTCTCTGAGGAAACCAGGTTCTGGCTCGTGGTTTTCGGTAGGCATAAGAACTCTATATGACTGAAACCCCAGACTAATATAGCTAATATATCAGTCCGATAGCTCCAGGGAGCCTCCGGGGCTCATCCAGAAAATAGTGTTTCATTACATAACACGCTGGTTTTTTCATCATTTTACGAACTGGTGGGTGGAGCTGCCGGCTCGCTCGAGCAAACTCCCCCTCTCCCCCTGTCAGGCGAAGGGGAGGTTAATGAGCACGTGTGCTATATGGATGACAATTTGCTTGTTTATTGTTTTCTTTTGGGGGGGAGTTCTTTGGCTCTGTTTTGATGTAGGTTGCAATTTTTACCAGTTGAAGGTTTGTATTGTTATGCCTACCTTTCTGGGGTATACCCCAGTTGATGGCAAGCATGACATATTTCAAATGTAGTTGTGCTCATATGACCATTGTTCCCTGTGCGTCTGAGGGGGCCAGGTTCTAGCTCGTGGTCCCCGGTAGGCAGAACTGCCATAACTGATGTCCCTAAACTAATATAGCACACATCAGTGTGGATAGCTTAATGGAGCCTCTGGGACTCGCCCATAAAATGGCATTTCATTACATTCAATGCTGGATTTGTTATCCCCCCTTTCTTGCCTCTTCCCATTCTTATATTCTTCCCATTCTTACCTTTCACCTTACACTTCTTCTAGAAATTACCTTCTTTTTACCTTCAATCTCTCACCTCACACTTTTCCTTTATCAGCTTGTTTCTTCGTCTCTTCCTCACACACAACTTGATAATGGTTCAGGATGGACCAAAAAGTCGTTTTTTCATTTTCTGATGCGTAGTTTAGTCATCATATCTTCAGCCACGCTATTGTCACTCATCGTCTGCAGATTCTCTCACCTTTTGTAACTAGCCCATCAAGACTTATTTATTGTAACTTATTTAGCTAAGTGAATTTTGGAGTTCAATCCTTGAGCCCATTATGTGGCTCTGTAACCTTTTCCACTACTACCCACAGGATGGGCATGGGGTGCATAATAAATTAACTAAACTACAAAACTTACTATGCAGTGCTTTTTAATATTACAAGCTCTGTGAATGACTGAGGGGGCTGCTCAGAAAAGAGCATTTCATAATTGTTTATGCCCTATTTTTCATACTACAAGGTATATAAAAGTAAATGTATATGCTCATAAAACATGCAGAAGTATGAATACTTAATTACTTTAGAAATTATGGATGTACATATACTGGTACTGTACTATATAAATATTGAATGTGTGTGTACTGTTGTTTCAGGTGAAGGTAATGGCAGAAACTAAGGACTTTGAACACTGGTTGGAGCTTAAAGCTGCTCTCGAGCAACGTTATGAGAGGGTGCGCTTTGCTATGCCTGACCTGGTCCATGAAGATAACTCCTTCTAATGCTGCAATACTGAAAGTTGTTTCATTCCAACATTTCATTAGGCTGTCACATTCTACCATGTTTGCCTTATCTGCTTTCTCCAGCTTTTATCTTGCAACATGAGAATTGTCACACTTAACAAAAAACCAATTGACAAATGATGCTCAAAGTTTGTACATTTTGTGGAAATAAGCTCATCAGTTTGTTGTAACCAGGCAACATCTCAGCCATAATGTAATGAATATTAGGTGTGATTGGAGATTATTATTATTTTACATTCAAAGAGTTAGTTTAATACTGTATTGACAGCAAATTATTTTCCAGTGAGCTTGTAATATTTGTACAGTAATATTTATAATAAATGCAGAATTAATAACAATAACCAGATATTTATGATTGTTTAATAAGAATGCCTCAAATTATTTAACAATATGAGTTTTAAAGTGTGAAAAAGAAAGGAATTATATGGTAGACAAACAAAAATCTTGGAAAGACAAATCTTGGAAGGGACGAGTGGGGAGGTTAAGGGAAAGAATACGACAATGGGGCTATGTATAGTATTTTTTAAAGGTTTTAAATGAATTGGATATATTAGTTAATGTTTGTTTTCCATATAGGCACGATAAACAATGTTTTTTTCTGAAATTATTATGAGAAAAGTAATTTTTCTTGTGACAGTCAATGTGATGGCTGGACCAGCACACAACAGTCACTCGAGGATGAAGTCGGCTGTTATCATGAGACTGATAACTGTGTTAAAACAGTACTTTTCATTTTCCTTGTCATATATGAAGGACAATAATTATTGTAATTGTTCCAGCAAAAACTACACTTTGAGTCCTATGAGCCTGTGATCCAGTTTGAGATAGCTGATTTCTTATGAGTAGAATAAAATTCCTAAATACATTATCATTACCCCTGTTTTCCCTCACTCTCATGGGGTAGAGAGGCATTAGACTGAAGAAATTGGTAATGTAGAACAAAAGTTATTGGTCTTAATAAAGCATTACAAATTTCACTCGTTGATTCATTATATCACTCACAATACAAGGTATAATAATATGGATAAACAACACTACATAGCTCCTGCCACTTCTTAACCCAGGCTAAGCCAGACCTCAATAAAGTTGCACAGCAGGCAGGGGCAGCAGTCAAAAAAGCTAACCGGAATAATCAAGCGAACCTTCGACTTCAAGGAAAAGAAAGTAGTGATTTAATTGTATTAATCTTTGGTGCAACCCCATTTGGATTACTGTATGGAGACTGTATTACTCTCCAAGCATGGACACCACATCTTCAGATGGATATAGCTGCTCTGGAGAAAGTGCAACACCGGGCAGCAAAAATCATTCCAGAGTTGTCAACTCTAGTATCAGGAATGGTTAAGGGCCACAGGTCTAATACTGCAAACCAGGCATGGCAGGGTAGATCTTATTGAAACTTGAAAATTTTACGATACTGAACCATTTGGAAGATGTTGATCCAGAAAATTTCTTTCAAAGGTCAGTCAAAACAAACAAGGAGCAATGATTTCAAGCCCTAACCACAATGTTTAACTGAAAACAGAAGATGCTTTTTCACCCACAGGGTTATTGACCCATGGAAACACCTACCTGCTGAAGCCATGAATGCCAAACCTCTGCTAACTTTTAAAGTACAGCTGGGAATAAAGGCAAATGGGAAGACCTTTGACAAGTTGCTGGCTTCCTGCTGGACCTAGATTCAGGAAGCTCCATGTATTTCTTTGTAAGTGGGTTTGCTACGAAGGTTCCTAAGTGTGCCCTAAGAAGATGCTTAAGTGCAATTCAAGTACTTCCACTTAGAAAGATATTTGTTGGTTCACCTGCGTGCCGATAGAGGTCACTACTGTGTTTCGTCTGGCCAATCAGAGAGCAGCAACATTCTTCATATTGAAGATTTAGCGCTGGCTTATCGGAGCTCCACTGCCTCCTATTTACGTCGAATTTTCTTATAAAATTTGTATATTTCGAAGTAAAACAATGTTTTTTCAACTTCTACAGCCAGCACCGACATTGTAGTAAACAAATATGTTACATTTATTGTTTACCTACGTAATTCTAAGAGATATTGTGCAGCTGTCCTTGTTGCTAGGAAGATGCGCTGACAATTATTGTATATATTTACTGAATTTACCCAAGGGCCACTAACTATCTAGTGGCCTCGATGAGGACAGAAAGCCGGCGGCTTGTTAAAGGGCCCACCAATTGTCTTAATGATATTTTTTTAGCTGGAATTTGGCATTTACGGTTTCAGCGGGTAGGCGGTTCCATGGGTTTATAACCCTCTTGGTGGAAAAAACATTTGTTTTCAGTCCTACTTGAGAGAACATACTCTCCAACACTATCTGTGATTGCCCTATTATCAGTGACTTCATACCAAATGGTATGAGGTATTTTGAGCTCTGTAATTACTTCATACACTCAGGAATATTGGAAGATATTCTTGTGCTGCACCCATATTTTGCCAGTGGAGACTAATAGATCAGCATTAAGTATTTTGTTCTCTCCTAATTCCATGTATGACTGGCCATCCTGTGAGGTGAGGTGTTTGGATGAGCTTGTAGCTGGTTTTTGATGTACACTGTGTGGTCCTTTATACAGAATAAGGAAGCAGCACATTGCTGTGTATACCTAAACATGTTAAAAAATACATTGTTTGAGACGAGTCTTGTAGAAACTGGTAAGAGTAATTATAATATAATGTTTCCATGATTCAGTGCTTACCTCTTGTGAAAATCGCGAAGAGTTGCTTAGTCAGAGTTGATTTGATTTTTGTATTGAGGCTGGTATTTTCTAAATTGATTCCATGTATGTCTAACCATCCTGTGAGATGGGAGTATTAGATAAACTTATAGCTAGTTTTTTATCTACACTGTGTAATATTCCATATAGAATAGCACATTGCTGTGTATACCTACCTTGAGGTTACCTTGAGGTGCTTCCAGGGCTTAGCGTCCCCACGGCCCGGTCGTCGACCAGGCCTCCTGGTTGCCGGACTGATCAACCAGGCTGTTGGACGCGGCTGCTCGCAGCCTGACGTATGAGTCACAGCCTGGTTGATCAGGTATCCTTTGGAGGTGCTTATCCAGTTCTCTCTTGAACACTGTGAGGCGTCGGCTAGTTATGTGCCTTATGTGTAGCTGAAGCGTGTTGAACAGTCTCGGACCTCTGATGTTGATAGAGTTCTCTCTCAGAGTACCAGTTGCACCTCTGTTTTTTCAACGGGGGTATTCTGCACATCCTGCCATGTCTTCTGGTCTCATGTGATGTTATTTCTGTGTGCAGGTTTGGGACCAGCCCCTCTAATATTTTCCACGTGTAAATTATTATGTACCTCTCCCGCCTGTGCTCAAGGGAGTACAGTTTTAGGCTCTTTAATCGGTCCCAATAGTTTAGATGTTTTACTGAGTGGATTCTAGCAGTAAAGGATCTCTGCACGCTCTCCAGGTCAGCAATTTCAACAGCTTTGAAAGGTGCTGTCATTGTGCAGCAGTACTCCACTCTAGAGAGCACAAGCGTTTTGAAAAGTATCATCATCGGTATAGCATCTCTAGTGTGAAAAGTTTTTGTTATCCAACCTGTCATTTTTCTTGCAGTTGTGACGGCTACTTTATTGTGTTCTTTAAAGGTAAGGTCTTCCGACATGAGTACACCCAGATCCTTTACATTGCCTTTTCGTTCTATGTTATGATTTGCCTGAGTTTTGTACGTGGTTTCCGTTTTTATATTTTATTTTTTTCCATAGCGCATGAGCTGGAACTTATCTTCGTTAAACACCATATTATTTTCTGTAGCCCATAGAAAGACCTGATCTACATCTGACTGGAGGTTCGCCGTGTCCTCTATGTTGCCTACTCTCATGAAGATCCTAGTGTCATCTGCAAAGGATGATACAGTGCTATAGGTTGTGTTCTTGTCTATGTCCGAAATGAGGATGAGAAAAAGTACTGGAGCAAGCACAGTACCCTGGGGGACTGAGCTCTAATCTAATCTAATCTGGGACCTAATCTTCTTAATAAAAAAATCAGTAATAAAGATTTTAAATTATAGTTTGTATTATTACAAATACAGTACTGTATTATCCTTATTAAATCATGTTGACCATGGATCATTAAGATCTCATGTTGATATGTAATAGTCATACTTCTTTTGAACTGCTAATCCATGCTAATCATTCATTAAATTGTGCATTACGTCTCAATTTTTCACTTCCTTGGATATACTGTACAGTACAAAAAGATAGGATAAAAATAAACTAGTAATATTTCTTTCATTATATTTTGTATTTAAAAAACTGCATCAATATTTTTACAGCTGACAGGATTTGTTTTACCATACAGGTGCATTATTTGTTAAAAAAAAATTTGGTTTATTGTTACACACAATGGTGCTACATAGCCTTCCCAGCTTGGTGCCTTCTTTTAATACTTACTGATTAAAAAATAAATAATAAATACATTTTATTCAGGAAAAGTACATACAGTTGATTTACAAACATAATGTTGGATTTATAGACAGAGGTAGTACATACAATACCTAAAGCCACTAATACTCATAGCATTTCGGGCAAGGTGTGGGGGAAAAAACACTTAGACTAAAACTTAATAGTAATCGGGATTAGGTATAAATTGTGTTGAAAGAAGGAATTAAAAATACAAAAAGGGGGGTTAACATAGCATAAATCAGCAATTGCACATGTTGGTGAACAGCATTGTTTAAAAAATAGCAAGACATGGGTTGACATTTAGGGGGTAAGTTAGGTTACATGGAATTAATTAGGCAGTACTTGGTTTAACTCTTAAACTGGTTGAAAGACGTACAGCCTTTGACATGATTCAGGAGGTCATTCCACATTCTGGGTCCCTTGATTTGTAGAGCACTTCTAGTTTGGTTACACACAGCCAAATTGTCTAACAGGAAGAGGTCTTGGACACAAATTTGTTCCATGCTAAATGTAGAGGAATCAGCTGAGTATTCCTCAAATAAAATAAGTTGCCTCAGCTTATAAGGTAAATAAAATATGCATTTCTCAAATAAGTAGCTGCCTCATCTCACTGCCTTACTGCTACATAGCCTTCCCGGCATGGTGCCTTCTTTGGTTAATTACTTGTTCCACACCCAAATTGTATAACAGGAAGAGGTCTTGGACCCCTAGTTCCCTCTCTCTTTTTTAATAGTCTGTATAGTCATAATTATAGCTTTAAGTATTCAATGAATAAAGTTTTTGAAATTTTTACCTTTCTCCTTACCTAACATCATTTGTGCAGCATATTTTTATTTTGTCTCACCCAGATTTTATTTCAAAACAAAACAAAACTAAATAAATTAGAAATGGGTATGTATAGCTAAGGTACACCCTTACTACTAGGTGAACAGGGGCATTTGGTGATAGTAAATGATCCCATCAGGCAGGGCTCATCACCTTCTCTCATATTTCATGTTCACCAGTGTTTATTTACTTAATAACTACGGGTATAATATCTTGCTATTATAAAACTAATTCTACTATCATAAAAGACATATTTACTTTAAGTTTCAAGCAGAGAATGCATATATAACTAACACGAAAGACTCCTCTTCACTAGATTCAATTTTTATAATCTTTTGTTTATGTTCCAAAATCTTAAAATCGATCCCAGTGTTATGTAGTAGAGAAAAATTTAGTTATATCCAGTTTACGTAAAGCTACCGCGGGTGGAGGGTTGACGGGGGAGAGAGTGGGGGTGTTGTTATGGTCCCCCCGCGGGTGGAGGGTTGACGGGGGAGAGAGTGGGGGTGTTGTTATGGTCCCCCCGCGGGTGGAGGGTTGACGGAGGGGGGTGTGAGAGCGGGGGTGTTATTGTCCCCCCGCTGGTGGAGGGTTGATGGGGGGGGGGGTGAGAGCGGGGGTGTTATTGTCCCCCCGCTGGTGGAGGGTTGACGGGGGGGGGGGGTGAGAGCGGGGGTGTTATTGTCCCCCCGCTGGTGGAGGGTTGAGAGCGGGGGTGTTATTGTCCCC